ACATAGGTCTAACGTAGCTGCCAATCATTGTGAGAGGGGTGAAAACAAAAACCTTACATCATTTATCTCCTGGGTATCCAATAACATGTTTTTGGTCACAGCTCACCAATAATTGTGAGACATTAAATAACCAACCACTCTTGCTATTTACGTCAATTCAACCCATTGCAAATAGGATTTCGTATCGCATGGGACGCGTTGGGTTGGATTCGGACTCCAAATACCCAATTCAATAAATATTGAATGCAATCTTTTTAGTTCACTTTTGATTGATTTAAGTTTAAGTTTTGAGTTATTTGGGATTTAGGTTGGCGAATATACAGTGATTTAAGTTTAAATATTATTTGGGATGTTAGTTGGCCGATATAAAGATGAAAATGAGTTTTGATTCACTTTTTATGATACCACTCTCATCAGATATCAGATACTCCAGTTTAAAAAAATTTAGATGACGAGTATGTTAATATATATATATATATATATGATAAAATATTATATAAAAAATAAAATTATAAATTCATCTATAATACATAATAATTTTTTTAAATTATTATGAATGATAATAAAATATTTTATAATAAAAAACTAAATAATATTAATGTCATTAAAATACACAAAAAATGAATATAATTAGTTTTACTCTCATTATTTTTTTGGTTAAAAAGAACAACATTTAAATCTAATTCATTAAAAAAAAACTAATAACTTCAGGAATTTTAGTTTCTTCAAATAGATCTTAATAATTTTACCAATGTAGTAGTTTCTAGCTTTTCCTTTAAGTATGTAAAGTAATTTCTTAAACGTTTATTTTTTCCCACATAAAGTTCATTGTCTTTATATGGAGAAACTTGATTTGGAACTTCTTCAAATTATTGTCTACAATAATACTTATTATAGAAATATATGAATTATAAAATTAACCTAATTAAAACTTGAAATAAAAAATAAAATAAATTGGACCTTTCAAATTGATTAAATTTACCTAGGATTTAATGAATGAATCAAATAATGAAGTGATATGTAACTTAGTTCATCTATCAATTAAGATGTTGTATACCACTTCATAAAAAGATGAATGTTGAGTCAATTTCTTTTCTTCATATTGATATATTGTTACTTTTACTTAATTATGGAGTCTCATTTCTCATAAATTAGATGAAGACTTGACTTATCAATATTACAAGGAAAAAAAACATATCATATATAAGCTTTGTGATGCTTAAAATATAATTAACTTTGTCCTACCAAAGGGCATTTAGAATTATTTCATTTACAAATGTAACCTTTTAGACATCATCATCTCTATAGTGCGCAACCACTATTCATTAATTACTATAGATTGAAGATCATGCTTAATTGTTCTAATTCTCTTTAACATCACAACAATTAAGGAAACTATAGTTTCAACTATAGTTAATAACTTTAAACGCACAAATTAATTATACACATCGCTAGTCTCATTAGTGGTTCATAATGAAATTTCTATAATGAAAGCGTCATTAACAACAGTAGAAATCTAATGACATACACCATACATTGCTATTCTTGATATCAAAATTTAATGTGTGCACTATAAAAGGTGTCTAAAATATATGGGGATGGATAAATTCAACAATTAAATCTCCAGTCTTATAAACATGAGTATTATCAGTAATTATTTGGACAATATTTTGTAGTTCAACCTCATCAATGGTTGACAAAATTAGATTGACAATGTAATGTTTATCCTTATATTCACCTAACCTATCAACAACCTTAAAAAATATTAGTTTTAAATTTGAACCTTTCATTAATTAATGACCTTTTTTATGCATCAATCCAACTATTAATAACTATTCTCACACATTTTTCTGATCAAGTGCCATTTATCGGTCAGAAAAACATTAATATATTGACTGTTTCTCTTTGTAATAATGTGATTTTTAATGTATTGTAACTTGGTGAAAGAAAATCAAAGATAGAAGTATTTGTAGCATAAATAAATGTATTAAAAAAGTAAGGATTTCTAACAATATTGAATGACAAACCAGCTGAATATAATTAGTTAAAAAGTAAAGATTTCTAACAACATTGTATTGACTTTAATTTTTCATTAGCCTTTCTGTCAATTTATTTTTTTCTCAACAAGATATTCATTTAACATTTTTGAACAAGTAGTAATCTCATTTTCTTTTTCTCTCAACAAATGAGATTTTACTTTAAAGTATAAAACTTTTATAAGGTTTTTCATAATAGTTACAAAACTAATTTATATTTCCTCCTTTTTCTTTCTTATTTTACAATGCAATTACATAAGCACAAAGAAAAAAATTACCTTCAACTTTTTCACATATATATATTTAGAAGTTAAAGATGTAACTAAATTATTTGTTTCACTTCCAGACCCAATGCTTGATTATTGTGAATCTATCTATAAATTATAATATTATAAGCTATAGTAATATTATAAAAATAAAAAACAAGAGTTAAAAAATTTCAAACATAACATAATTAAAATATATATTAATATTAATTATTATACATCATAAATCTATATTAATAATTTAAAAATAAAAATATAATTTTTCAAAAAATCATAACAGAACATAATTAAAATGTAAAAATTAATAATTTAACATATATATATATATATATATATATATATATATTAAATGAAAAGGAGAGAAAATAGTCACACAAAAAAATTAATGTGGTTCACCCCTAGAGAAACTAGGTTATGTCTACAAGGGCAAGAGATTACTATCACAACAAGAAAAAACCTGATTAGTCACCGACATTAGCGACCGAAATAAATCTGTAGCAAATAGTGACTAATATAGCGACCGAAAGTAATCCGTTGCAAATATCAACTAAATTTAGAAATCGAGATTAATCTGTAGCAAATAGTGACTAATTTAGCGACCGAAATAAATCCGTTGCAAATAGCAACGAAATTTAGCAACCGAATAAATTTCGTAGCAAACAGTCACAAATTTTAGCAACCGAATTAAATCAATGACAAATAGCAACGAAATTTAGCAACTAAATTAACTCAGTGACTAATAGAAACTGAATTTAGCAACCGAAAAAAGTCGTAGCAAACAGCCACCGATTTTAGCAACCGAATTAAATGAGTGACAAATAACAACTAAATTTAGCAATTGAAAATTAAAAATAATAATAATATTTAAAATAATAATAAAATGTGTGTGTGAATAATTTAAAATAATAATAATAATAATAATATTGTAAAAAACATTAAAATATATTTGTTAAATAAAAAATAATATAAAATTCAAATATTTGAAAAACAACAAATTAAAACCATTTAAAAAATAAATAAACTATAATTATAAAATGTTACTTGAAATTAAAATAAATAATGATTATTTAATGAAGAATAAATTTATAGTTATAACTATTATTTAAAACTATAACTATTATTTGTTAAATTATTTTTTATGATGTAAAAATTCCATCTCTAATTATGATTTCAACTCTGTTTACATAGTTACTTTTTTCTTTAATTTTAATATAATAAAATATATAATTAAAATTAATTTAGTTTAATTTATTATACAATTTATTTGTTTTAAAATAACTCAACTGTCATAATATATAAAATTAAATAGTATAAAAAATTATTTTAAAAAATAATATATGAAATTAATATAAACATCATAATACTACTATAAAATTATAATATTTAAAATTATTAAATAATTAGTTATTATATTGTTTTATTATTTTATAAATATTCAAATAAAAATTAGTAAATATACTTAAAAAAATAATTACAATTGTTTTAAATATAATTCTATTAATTCAGTAAACATGATATGATTTATTCGATCACTACTAAAATTTTTCTTATTATCTGCAATATTTTACTAAATATTTAACTTATTCATTAAATATTTTTTACTTATTAATAAAATTTTAAATTAAAAATATTATATATTAACAAAATTTATTAATTGGTTTTAAGTTAAATAATAATTTAAATTTATTATATAATTTGCTTATAATTTTATAATTAATATAAAAAGATTATATATTAACTTTCATATAACTTTTTAAAATTAATATTTGTTATTATTGAAATTATAAGAAAGTATTAATATATTTTTATTAAATATTAAAATATTTTTATAATATAATATATATAATATTAAATTATAAAAATTTTATAAAAATAAAAAATTCTACCTAAAAAAATAAAAACCCTAGTGAGAACGTGAGGTGTTTCACCCTTCTTTTCTCCTCTCACACAAACTGGGTCACTGATACACAGCTTCTCAAATCTCTCTATGAGTTTGATACCTGGAAAAATATTTACAAGCTCTTGAAAAAAAAAAAAGGGTGTTTTTTTTAATAAATTTGGTGTCAAATTTGGCATGTTGAGTTTTTGCTGGCTTGTGTTTGGTTGGAGATAAAACAAAGGCATAGAATTAATAGAATTAGCAGTAGTTTAGTAGTGTAAGTTTTCTTTAGTGTAAGTTTTCTTTAATCCCGAACAACCATAATACAAAATTAAATGTAAAGATATTTCTCGATACTAATGAAACTTTGATAATTTTCTGTATTTTTGAAACTACTTTATTTATTTTTATTTTTATAGTTGATTTAAAAATATACAAATAATAATTTTTTTTAAAATAATATTTATTATATTTTTAAACAAAACTTTATAACTTTTAGTTATCCAAATTTAATTATAAAATTTAAAATTAACATTTTTGTTTTTATGTCAATTATTTATCTTTTAATGATTAGTCACTATATTAAAGATCTTTCACAGTCAAGAAGAGTATTAAAAATACATTCATTAATACAATATTTTTAATATATAATGAGTTATTTAAATAAAATAAAAACTAAATTTACACATCTAATTGTTAGTTCGAATGCTACCTAAGATAGTATGACAAGAGATATAGTAACTAAGGGATGCTCAAGCTTATACTTCTTACGTAACAATTTAACAGCATTTAAAATCTGCATTTGAAGTCCAAACTATTAAGATAAGAAAAAAACCCAACTCTCACTTAGTTACTAAGAGTGGCAGATAGAGAAACACACTCAGAGAGTGAAGCTCTGTTCTTCTTATCTTCCAGCTTTTGAATCTGTAAGTTTCTTCTCTTCCAATTTCGCTTTCATGCATCGTTTGAGGTTTAAAATTTTGCATCTTTATGTTTTCTGAACTTAATTGTTGCATGGGTTGGTGGGATTTGGGGTGAGGATTTTGTAGGGCTTTGAATTGGAAAAAGAAAAGTGATAAAAATTGGGACTTTACTTCAATTTGTTTCTTTGCCTCTCCTCCCTGTCGCCATTCTGATTGATTCGTTTCTTCCTTCGCGCAAGCACTTGGTTTGCCCCTTTTGTGTGTGTTGCATTTTTTTGTAATCCTCCACTTCAGTTTGTGTTTTTCGGATAGCTGGGATCCGACATTGATTTCCAATTTGTTTATTTATTTAAATGTCAGCTCCATGTTTTGGGCTGCCCATCCTGGTTTTGAGTATTTGGTCCTCATTGATCCCAAACAAATCTTCAATATCTTCCCAGTGACATTGAAAAAGGAGTATATCAATTCATCAAATTTCCAAGGCCAAATAACGTCAGGAATAAAAACCTTATTTCATTTTTATGTCTTCATAATATTGTGAGATCCATCTTGCTATGATCTTTATCTCTTGTTTCCTTACATCCTTTAACCACTCTGGATCTTCCTTGGTTGAGAACCTTAGGTCTACATGATGAACTTCTGCTCATAAAACACAAATAAACAGAGAAATCAGGAATAAAAAGTATGAGATATTGTAAAGATTATACCCTTTTATATAATTGTGAAATTATAGGATTATACCCTCCACCGCTCCAAGGGTCTCTTAAACCGTTAAAGAATATAATGTTGCTTCTGGACCTTTTCAGAACTCTTTCAATGCCCTGTAAAGAAAGAAAGAATCTTAAAATTGTATTTGTTGGTATAACCTTTATATAAATGAAAATTAAACTATTGTAATAGATATTATTAGTACATATATTAACAATATCATGCATTACGAATAATGCATAGAAAGTCTATATCATAATTTTATTTTTTTTTAAAAATAAATGTTATACCATTATTACATGATATTTTTTTAGTGAGATTAACCGTGTTCTCCATTTGAAATCAATATTTAATGTTGATAACCAATGAATTCATTTTGATATCAACATCTATGAAATAAAAAAGAAATATTATCTTCTCGTAAGAAATACTATTTGCTTGCATTTCAACGTCACTTTTTGCTCAAGTTTTGAACTTGCAGAAAAAGAAAATTAAGGATTTCAATGACACTCTTTGCTTCAGTTTTGAACAAGCATTTTGTTTATTCTTATTGTTTTGTTTATTCTTTATAGCTATTGACTTTTAATTTTATTACTTTTAACAGACATAAATTAAAGACATTAATAAGGAGGCAACAGACAAAGACTTTTAAAAGAGTTTTGACATTACAAATCTACTTGGGCATAAGGTTCAGGTATTAAAGTACAACATTGTATGTTAGTGGAGAGCAATGCTCAATAGGGTGTGATCCTGCTTGACTTAATGCAGGATGCTGGTTGTATGCTGAGTAATTTATAATTATGCATGACGTTGATGTATTAAATCATTGTTTGTTAGTGGAGAGCAATGCTCAATAGGGTGTGATCCTGCTAGGGATGGCAATGGGTAGGGTATGGGTAGGGTACTACAGTACCCATCCCCACACCCGCGTTTTAAAAAAATACCCGTATCCGGCCCCATACTCGCGTGTGTATGAACATTAATCCCCGTACCCGTACCCTCTGGGTACCCGCATACCCGTCTTGTACCCATTACCCGCGCTTGTTTGAGAAAAAAATATTTATAAAGAAAAATATACTTATATAATTTCACATAAGTAGCATAATAATACAAAAATTCAATATGTAGTTGTCAAACAAGGTACAAATATAGATAAAAAAATAAATATTCAAATATCATAAATGTTAAATGTATCTTAATATAATAATTTTTTAAACTAAAATTTTTAGAAACAATAAGCAAAACTAAACACACAAGTTATTTGTCAGTGATAATCCTATCTTGTGTGAGATTTGATTAATTAGTAATGTCAGAACGACAACGAAATAGATCTGTACAATGGTTGTCCCTTTGTGTGGGATCACTTAGTAACCTCTTGTGACGGCATTAACAATTAACTCTAATGAATAACATTTCATAGTTATTAAGTTTTAGTGAGACAGACATTGAGAATGAGAATAGAGTTAAAGTAGAGAAGTTCAATACTAACAATAGAAAGTTGATACATAAAATATTTTTTTTTAACTTTTGAATTTGAAATTGTAAGAAAAATAATAGATTTAATTAAAATAATATAATATAATTAATATATATATATATATATATTAATACTAGTATTTTTTAACTCATACTATACGAAAGTATTTTATCAAAAATATAAATTTTTGAAAAATTATTTTAGTGAATTAAATATTTCTAATGTATATAAATTTAAAAAAAAAAGAATTTGAATAAAAGATAAATAGTTACAATAAAATTTTATAATAAAGAAATATATGTGTATATTAAAAAATTATACTTTTTTATCTTAAAAAAATTAACAAATAAAAATTAACAATAATTTTTTATATTTATATCTTTTCAAAAACTTCTTTGAATGTGAATAAATAGTAAGAATAATATTATTTAGATTCAATAAATTATAATTGTGCTTATAATACATATGTTGCATAGAAAAATATTATTTTAAATTAAAATATAAAAATAAAATTTAAATATTATTAATAAATAATAAATTTACGGTAATAGTAGGTGATTGTAAAATTTATAAAATATTTATAATATATTTATTATTTATCATTCACTTTATGATTGAAACATCAATATGATTTTATTAACCAAAATATTTGTGTAAAAAATATTTTATGTGTGTCATATATAAATAATATTTTAAAAAAAGTCAATCTCATATTAATTATGTAATAATTAAATTGTGTTAGCCGAATTAAATGATATAAAATAGTAAATAAATTTTTCTATTAAAAATATAAACCAAAATAAATTTTTTGGTTTACTTTATTATTAAATATATTTTTATATTAATCTTATATAACTTCACATAAGTAATATAATAATACAAAAAATTAATTCATAATTGTAGAATAAAGTTCAAGCATATATATATATATATATATATATATATATATATATATATATATATATATGCGGGTATGGGGCGGGGTGGGTACTTAGATACCCATACCCGCACCCATCCCCATTAAAATTTGCGGGTTTTTACCCACACCCATACTCGTACCCGTATAGCGGGTAAATACCCTACCCATTGTGGGTAAATTTTGCGGGTGCCTATCGGATAATTTATCCATTGCCATCCCTAGATCCTGCTTAACTTAATGCAAGATGCTGGTTGTATGCTAAGTAATTTATAATTATGCATGTCTTTGATGTATTAAATCATTGTTTGTTAGTGGAGAGCAATGCTCAATAGGGTGTGATCCTGCTTGATTTAATGCAAGATGCTGGTTGTATGCTGAGTAATTTATAATTATGCATCTCTTTGATAGATTAAATCATAATTTGTTAGTAAAGAGCAATGCTCAATAGGGTGTGATTACAAACTCTATTTTTCATTTGTTATAGTTAGCAATAATGGAAATTCCTGAGAATCGAAGATGGATGGAGACTAGGTTGGATCATAATAGACATTTGAGACACGAGTTTGTCGAAGGAGTTAATGAATTTATTGAGTTTGCAACTACACAACAAAACTTCCAAAAGTATCAACAATTAAGGTGTCCTTGTAAGAAAGGTCAATGTAGAAGGTTCCATTATGTGGATGATGTTATGGTACATCTTTATGAACAAGGATTCATGAAAAATTATTACTACTGGACAAATCATGGTGAGAGAATGCCACCAACCCCACCTACTTTGGTGGAAGAATCATATTATAGTATGAATAACCGAAGGGAAGAATTCAACCCATATGAGCAAATGATCATGGATCATGTTGGTCCCGAAGTTGGTCAAGTTATGGAACAACAACCTGTACTAAGAGAACAAAACTTTGAAGAAGATCCAAATCCATATGCTAAAAAATTCTATGACATGTTGGCAAGTGCGCAAGCTCCGTTATGGGATGGATGCCATACTCACTCAGAATTATTAGCTTCTTTAGTTACTCTAACTTTAAAATCTGATTACAACATGTCAGAAGGATGTTTTAATCGTATGGTTCAATTTATGGGTGAAGCCATGCCAAATAGAAATCGAATGGCTTCAAATCTTTATCGTGCTAAGAAATCAGTTGCGAATTTGGGATTGGGTTGTATAAAGATTGATTGTTGTCAAGATGGATGCATGTTGTTTCGTAATGCTGATGAAGATGATAGTGTTACAACTTGCAAATATTGCCACAAGGATGGTTATGCATCAAATTTAGGTAGATGTGTTGATATTAAAGAAGCAAAGTTGCATGGAATGAAAAGTCACGATTGTCATGTATTCATGCAGCGATTACTTTCCATTGCATTTGATAGTTTAGCAAATACTATTTGGAAACCACTTGTTGAACTTAGCCACTTTTTTAGAGAATTGACTTGCACTACATTGCACATAGACAAGTTGATAGATATGGAACGTGTTATCCCTGTGTTATTGTGTAAGTTGGAACAAATATTTCCACCAACTTTTTTTGATTCGATGGAACATCTTCCAATTCACTTGCCCTATGAAGCACGAGTTGGTGGTCCAGTTCAATATCGTTGGATGTATCCATTTGAGAGGTATAAATTTTTAAAACATCTTAATATAAAGATATTTTTGTTTATCTTTATTAGTAAATGTTTTAATAAATTACAATGCATGAAATTTAGGTTCTTGCGATCTTTGAAAGAAAAAGTGAAGAACAAGGCCAGGATAGAGGGGTCCATTTGTGAAGCCTATTTAGTAGAAGAAACATCTACTTTTGCTTCATTTTACTATCCATCAAGCATAGATTCAAGAAGGACTATAATTCCACGTAATTTTGAAGGGGAAGGTTGTTCATCTAGTCCTCCAATCTCAATTTTTAATTATCCAGGACACAGTTGTGGCAAATCCTATCAATATTACTTAGAAGAACGTGAGTTGAAAGTTGCTCATCTATATGTTCTACAAAATTGTGAAGAAGTATAGCCATATTTAGAGTAAGTTGATCAATGTCTTACTACTTTTAATTAGATGACCTTCGCTTGATATTTTTTTTTCAATATTACACCTAACATATTTTGTTTGATATTTGTAGTATTTATATTAAACTCCTACGAGAGCTTTAACATGATATTTCGAACTCTCAAATTGATCAAGAAATTGCCTCTCATTTTCCTAGTTGGTTCAAATGATATGTACGACTTATTTTATTTTATTTTTCAAAATAATATTAAAGTAATGTTATACTTAATTTTTTATTATGTTTAATTTTACATTTGATAAATAGGTTCAAATGTATCCATATCAAGAAGTGCATGTTGTTGATGACCTTCATGTAATGTTGCAAATTGATTCTGATCTTTATGATGATAGTCTTGTTGATCTTAGTGGTGAAGGGGACGAAGTTGATGTTGCATCATTATTTAATCAACAAAATTCAGATGAACAGAATGATGATGCATACTCCTCAACTGAATGTGATAGTGAAACTTATAGTGAAAGTGACATTAATACTGACTTAAGTGATTCACTGTCACCTTAGGTAATTATTTATTATATTATATGTCATATTTATAATGTGTATAAAATTTACCGATGTTTTTTTTTTCAAGGAAACAGATGGCAGACAATAATAGTAGAGGTACAAGTCGAAGTCAATTTCAAAGTCGTGCTAGAGGTTATGTTCAAACATCTTTTCCACAAAGCATATGTAATACACCTGGCTTGGCAGCATCACATACAGATGTTGAATTAGTTCCATCTATTCCTCAAAATTTGGGGGGCACGACTACTCTTACCAGCACACAGCCTCCTTCAAGAGAATTATTGTCAGAGCAGTGTGTGACTTCATTGTTACCAATTCTTGGAACTACAGATTCCGCTGATAAGAAGATATGGCTTGCCCCAGGAGCCAAACATGAGTAAGTTAGTTTTGATATACACATATTATATCAAAATGTATTTTTTATAACTATCTAATTATATGATATCATTATTTTTTTCCAATAGTTATCTACCTTCAGGTGGTCCTTCAAAGGTTATTTCCAAAATAATCGAGTCTAAGTTTGATAGTCCATGGCCTACTTGGACCAAGGTGCCACAAGAAGTGAGGAATATGTGGTTTGAAGAGTTTAAGGTAACATATTTTAAAGTCATTGTGTTATGTAAATATTAAACCCATCAATTGTCTCTAACATGTAAGCAATTCTAAAATAATTGTCAGGCATATATATTTATGGGGTGATTATCTTAAATATTAGAGGAAGGGGGATAGTTTTAACAAAATTACTCTTGTATTTCATGTTATTAATGACTCTTATATATGTTATTGTATAGTTCTATTTGATTTTTTTTTATTTGCAGAAAACATACAAATGGCTCTCTCAACATAATCTTATCATTAGATCTATTTTTGAGCATAAAGGCTCTGTGATTTTAAAGAACATAATGTCTAAGTTACGAAGGGGTAAAGATAAGGGTCTTTGGATCACTCCAGATGTGAAGGAAGAGCTACACACTCATTGGGTAAGAGAAGAGTTTCAGAAGAAAAGCACTATTGCTAAACAAAATAGAGCTGTTGATGGTGGAGCATCTTTGTACACCGGTGGCTCTGTATCTGCTGCTGTGCATCATGATAGAATGATAATTATTTAAATTTTTTTTTAATTATTTCCTTCATTGGAACTTTACACTTGTATTATTATGCAGACTTAGCAACGTAAGCGAGTTCCCACAGCATTTAATATAATGGAAAAGACAAAAAGGAATAAAGCTGGAAAATGGGTCAATGACAAAGCCAAAAATATTGCAGTATATACCTTTCTAAATATTACTTTTTAAAAATTTTAGCCCCACTTTTATTATAAATTATGACTAATAAGAATATTAATTTTTTAGGATGAGTTTATTCGACGTCGAACTGAAGCCCATGCACATGACAATGATGATCATGGTGAAGAATGTGCCTCAGGTGACCATTCTATAGCTGCTGATAATGCCAATTTTTTAGAAGTTGTTGAAGGAAAAAACAAGAAAGGTCATGTGTATGGGTTAGGACAATTGGGTGAAGAGTTTGTGACATCATCCTCTCCTTGTACTCAGTCTGATCCTAGTTCTAGCATTAACTATCAGCAGATCATTGCCAACCTTAATGCAGAATTAGCAGCAAAGGACACACGCATTGATACTATGCAGTCTGAATTTCAGAGGACTAATTCAAAACTACAGAAAACTGAGATCATTCTCTAACAAGTTGTTAAACACTTGGGAATTTCTACTAGTACCCAAATAGATGATTCTCATGTTGATACTGATGATGTTGGTTCTCCTTATGATGGCATTGATCCACATTCATGATTTAAGACTTTCTTTTTCTATTTGTTATGTTAATGATTGTACCTTTTTTATAAAATGAGCTACACTTTTGTTATGGAGTGAAATATGTATTGTTATGGATTATAAAATGCATTTTACTTCTTTAGATGTATTTTTTTACTATGTTTGTAAAATTTGACTATTAGCAGGTTTTGTTATATATCATCTCTCATATAAGCATGTTTTGTTATATAAATAAGTCTTATTGAAAAAAATAATTTTAAAAAAGTAAAATTATTCATTATAGTTTGCCACCAAATTTAGCCACCGAATTTAGCAACCAAATATTTGATAATATTTAGCCACCAAAATAGCAACCGAAAAGGATAGACGCGAAATAGCAACCGAATTAGCCACTACCAGAATACAACCAATTACCAACCAAATTAGCAACCGAAATTTAGAGTTGTAATTAGCGACCGAATTAAGTGGTCACAGTTAGCAACCCAAATAGCTACCGCCTTCTTGGTGACAAATAGAGACCAAAATTAGCGACCGAAATTTAGCGTTGCAATTAGCGACCGAATTAAGAGGTCACAGTTAGCAACCTAAATTGCTACCACCTTGCTTGTGATAAATAGCGACCAAATTAGCAACTGAAATGTGGAGTTGCAATTAGCGACCAAATTAAGTGGTCACAGTTAGCAGCCGAAATAGCTACCACCTTGGTTGTGTCAAATAACGACTGAATTATTCGGTGGCTAAATTCAAATTTTTACAACCGAATGCATTTTCGGTCGCTAAATATGTTTGCAACCAACATATTAGCCACCAAGTTTAATCAGTGGCTATTTCGGTCGCTAAAAAAATTAGCTACCGATTTTTATATTTTAACCACCGATTTTTTCGGTCGCTAAATACTCTTTTTCTTGTGTATATTTGAATTATTAGTACAAAGATAATCATATCAAAGATAGTTAAAACTCTTTATATAAATAGTGTTAAAAACTGAAAACAAATTAATGTCATAACAAGAAAATAATCATAACTTTAACTTGTATTTGTAAAGAACCAAAAAAGAGAGGTTAAAGACATTATTCCATAAATCTCCACCTTGCATTTGAACCTTTAAACTATGAATACTATTATAAGATCTGCTACCACCTGTCACAAAAGATTATTTTCAACAATCAACATTAAACAAGTCAAGGTAGTTCATGAACTTGTTTCTAGGAACATGTTTTGTAAACATATTAGCAAGGTTATGCATAGTATCAATCATTTGAACCTTAATCCTCTTCTACATTCAAATGAAATGGCATTGGACATCTATGTGTTTGGTCCTTTCATGATGAATCTGATCCTTGGCTAGACATATAGCACTTAAGTTATCATAGAAAATCAGGGCATACTTTTGAGTGATTCCTATATCAGTTATTAGTCTTTTTAGCCGTATTCCCTCCTTTGTAGCTTCTATCAGGGGTCATATACTTTGTTTTTGTTGTTGATAGAGCAATAGAATGTTGTAATGTGACTTTCTAACTTACAAAGCAGCTTCCAAGAGTGAATGCATAGCATGTGATTGATCTCCTTCCATTTAAATTAACATCATAATTGCATATGAATATCTAGCTGGAAAGTAGTTTGTATTAGCTCCATAAATGAGGTAATTATTTGATGCTCCTTTCAAATAACAAAATATCCCTTTGACAACTTGCCAATGTCCTTTATATGGTTGATTTAAAAACTTGCTCACAATACTGACTGCATAAGCAAGGTCAAGTCTTGTGCATATTATGATATACATGAGACTTCCTACAATAATTGTATAAGATTACATACTAACATTACATACTCAAATTACAATAGATATGTATTTGGAGACGCGATATTTTCTTATGGAATGTTATATATGTGTGTATTCAAAATCTACGTCCTTATCATCACGAGAAAAAAATAATTTTCACATTATAGATCAAAACATAATTTAAATACTAACGAAGTTTTCAAATAACATTCAAAACAAGTTGGTTAACATTATAGAAGTCACATACATACATCATCAAAAGATTAGGGAAAGATAAAAAAGGGTGTCATACACCAACTATGCCTCCGGGGAGGATGCTATCATACAATCCAAAATGAACAAAAAGGAACTATCAATTCCAAATCTTTCCCCAAACAGCCCCATCATGCAAAAGCAAAGTATATATGAACATCAGTCTAGATGAGTGTATTTCTCTGAGGGATCAAAATTTATCGAAATGAATAATATTGCATCAGGGTCTGTAGACAAACTAGACAAATCTTCATCTACATCTTCTAGTCGGTTAGAGGTAAGTGGAGGAATGTGGAAAAGTGGAGAGGGTAGAGGTAGTGAAGGGCTACGGTGGGAGGGTCTAGCTTCATTAATGGGTAAAAGTCAGCAAGGCAGGATAGGTAGACAAGGTCGGACAGACGACTCAATCACCTAGATATCAACACACTCAGGTTCGAAAGGAGGAGGAGAAGATGGTCAAGGCACATGAGAGTTAGGGGCACTGCCTGGAGTAGGACCGAAAGCAAGAATATCAGTATCCATGGGGGCTAGTGTAATTGTAGGGGAGACAAGGGGAAAAGAAATAGCAGCGACATATAGAAGCAAGGGGAAAATGATCTCAACTGGTAGATTTGTAGTAAAACAGGGTTTTCAACCTATCTAAGAAATTGAACCAAGAGTCATCCTAGCAAACTCTTGGTTGATGATTCGCTTATTGCTATCATAAAAAATCCACAGGTCATCCATTGTTGGGAATACTAACATCTTAATCATATTTGACTCCATCTGTGTATACAATACACAATACATACCAACCAACAGATATGCCAAACATACAAAAGAAAAGAGAAGAGGGTGAGTCCATGAAATTAAAGTAAATTACACAATGTGTATACAGAAAAGATTTATACACTAGATAATCAAAATATCATCATAGTTAAATGTAATAATAATAAAATCACTCATAATATGAACAGAATAATGCATGATGCAATTTAATTATGAGATTTATTCTTATTTAATCATCTCTATGCAATGTATAATTATCCCATATTCTTCTTTCTAAATCACAGTAATTCCAAATCTCAAGGCGACGAGGACTTCATTTTCTGCTATTATATCCAACACATTTTAATTCAAAAACATTTGTTGTTCGTATGTCTCAAGGGCTCCATTCAGCAATAGGCCTATTAAAATCCTGGTAATGGGTGTTCACATCAGAGTTGTCAAGGGTTTGCTGGTGACGTGACCCAGTCACAATAAGCTACTTTGCACCTCTGGGTCATCTTCCCTCTACCACTCCCAAGATTTGTCATTGAACCTAACACAAAGCGTCTCATAACTGTGCTAATTGTAACCTTAATTTTGCTTTCCCTCCTTATGAGTATGATACATGATCACACTGTATATTCGTTAATTTTTTATAGTTTATTTCAAAATCTATTTAGCTAATATAACAAGTGTATCACATCATATTCCTTTAGAAAGTCATTCACAACTGAGCCCTCATTAATTACTTCTCATATCATAGTTTTTTAATTTACTGGAATATTATTCTAGAGGTCTAAATATCACAAGAACCTATTAGCTACAATTTTTCTATTATTTAATTATTTTTTCCTTCTTTATTTAATATTTATTTATCTGAATGTCATCTACGTTGAAATTAGTAATTATTTATGAGTTACTTTCCTTAAAGTCCATAAGGTCTAAAGTTTGGTTAGATGTCTCACTGTCCTCTTATTAATTTGATTATAATAGGTGATGAAAGAAAGTTATTTCTATTAGGTTTTAAAGTGTTTCATTATTCCTGTACTTTATTCTTACTATCTTTACTCTCCTCGTATTTTTCTCTCAATTCCCTTAATTCTAAATCAGCCATTCACATCTTAGTATTTAGTCTCACTTGATATTTTATGCTAAGTTCTCTCATATTTATTTTATCTATTAAAACTCATAAAATCTACTTACCACCTACGTGTTTAGTATCTCTCTTTACCTTTATTCTCATTATGTTTTAGCCCTTAGTCTATCTTTTATTTAGATTCTTACCGCTGATGTTATATCTAGGGATGCATGGCAATGAGTAAAGTACCCGATAGGTACCCACAATGGGTAGAGTATTTACGTGCTATATGGCTACGAGTATGGATATGAGTAAAAACTCGTAAATTTTAATGAGGATGGGTACAGATATAAGTATCTAAGTACCCAACTCGCCCCATACCCTATATATATATATATGCTTGAACTTTGTTCCACAACTATACATTGAATTTTAGTATTATTATATTACTTATGTGAAGTTATATAATATTAATATAAGTTATTGGTTGTTTCTTGATCTCACCTCTTGTTATGCAAGATTCCCCTTTTTCATAGAAGTTGACTTCTCTTTCAATTTAGTAGTGGTCTACTTCATAGAAACAGAAGGTAAAGGACCTCAAACCTTTTTGTTCCTTCAATAGAGCTTGCATCTTGATGCTCCACAGATTAAATTATTCTTTTCATTAAACTTCTCAATCTTGATGGTGTTTGACATTTTTCTTGAATGTTCTTTCACAAAAATAATGAAAGACTAATTATTACAAAAAAGAATCACAATATAAGAGAATTGAGTTCTAATGATCGCAACTTGTGCTTTGATACTAGTTTATTATAGATGTGAAGAACAAACAAGAATAGAAAGATAGAAACAAAAAAAAGAAGAAGAGGGCAAATACAATTTAAAATGAAAGGGAGAGAAAAAAGTTACACAAAAACATCAACATGGTTCACTGTTAAAAGATGGTTAAGACTCTTCATATATAGTGTCAAAAATACATAACAATTAATTGTCATAACAAAAAAATAACCATAATTTTGACTTGTATTTCTACGTAACAAAAAAGAGAGATTTAAGATATTATTCCACAACTTTAATATGTAATTTTATATAACAATGTTTATTTTAATGTTTTTTTATATAAAAATATAAAAAAATAGAATAAAAAAGACTAAAATGAATGATTTTTAAAATGTTAAAAATTAAAATTATTTTCTAATTCAATAATTCAATTATTTGTTTATAATTTTAAAGGCTAAAAAATTTTTTTAGCCTTTTTTCTTGTGTCTCTTTTAATTAGACTAGATAGCATTAACATTTTTTTTAACAATTAGTGGCATTTATGGTGATATAGATGCAACATTTAGTTAGGTAGTCAGTTTGCGATTATTCAAAAATTACTTTTGTACGTCGTTAAATTATAAATTTATTTCATACATATTTTTAATTTTATTTTTAAAAAAAATATAATTTAGTTTTATATTAGTAAATATTTTTAGATTATTTCTTACAAAAGACTAAAACAAATAAAAAATTATTCTTATAAAAATTAAAACGTAAATATTAACTATATGAACTAATTTATAAATAAATATTAATTATAAAAAATAAATGTAAAAATAAATAAGTGAAATATAAAAGAATTCAAAAAATTTTAACATTTACATATTTTTTTAAAAGACTCGTGTTACTTTTTAAAAAATAACCAAAAGTTGTACATGATGCATACAATTTTTTTATAAAAAATTTAAAAGTAAGCCATATATAGAGATACTAATTCAATTGTTTATTTAATCATTTAGTTTGTGAATGCATAAATTCAATCAATCCATTCAGTTGTTAAAAAACATATATAAGTTAGAATGGATCACATGTAATTGAACGAATAATGAATTATCTACAAAATTTTGTAATTCATTAAGTTAATTAATTTAGCACAAATCTTTAAAATATGGGTCACATTCAATATTATGGGGTCTAAACCCATCATTTAAAGACCTGTGTTCAACTATTTGACTTTGGTTTACTCAACTTAAAAAATTCCAAAAAAATTGTTGATAATTTATTATTTATCCAATAATAAATGATAATCTATTTCAATCCATCTATAATTTAATTAATAATTAAATAAAAATATTAAATTAATCTATTTTTACACGCTTGTTTTTTAAAATTTAAAAATAAGTCATCCATATTTCATGTACGACTTACAATTATTTTTTTAAAGAAAATATATGACGTATATCATACACTACAATTTTTAAATAGGATGTGGGAATATTTTTAGACGTTACACTATATACATAATTTTTTATGCGTATTGCACTACTTGCGTGAAAAAAGCCTCAGAATCAATACATTTCAATGGTTTAGGACCATCAGTTTCAGGTCGATCTGTATAATTTCTAACAGTCAAAATGTGAAGAAGTTATTCACCAAGATTTTAGCCAATCTTATAAGTAGGAGAAATGGAGTGCACTTCTAGCCATCCAATGATCGATCTAGTAAGAACAAAACACAGTGTGTCTATGTCACAGCTCCCAGCATTAACAAAATAAAACCATATTTTATTTTATGGTCGGATTTGATTATTAAATTTGTAAAAGGGTTTGATAAATATAAAATAAAAAAATTATATTTTGTAAAAATTAATTTTTTAAAACCTATAAAAAAAAGTTTAACTTTCAAAATTTAATTATTAATATTTTATCTTTCATTTAAAAAAACAATTTATATATCGCACAATTAAAATCTAACATATATACATTGATTTTATTATTTTTTATTTTAATAATCCTATTTTTTCATCTAAATATATAAGTAAATAAATTTTATTTTTTTTATATAATTATTTGATAAATTCATTGATGGTAAATAAATAAAATAAGTGATATTTATTTTAATATTATTAATATAATATTGTATATTATTTTAAGTTGTTTAACATAAATTAATAAATTGCATAACTAATTTGTTAAATAATTTTAATTATATAAACTATCCGTACAGCTACAGTCGCATAAGTTTCAACTATTTTCACGCTTTAAGCTGATTTACCAATCATAACCTTAGAGACAATGGAACCAGGTGTCTGTTTTGTTGGAATGGTTCGCGCAGTTTTGAGGAAGCCTGAAGGGAGAAATGAAGGAGTGAGAATGCGAATAGAAAGCGGGAACCAAACAAACTAACTCAAAAACTACGGGCAAGCCCGTGGGCCATGATGGCCTTCTATCTTCACTTGGGCTTGATACTAAGCCTAAGTTTAATTCTTGATGCACTACTTGTATTCATATTTTGACAAAAAATATCCATATTTATCCACCTTAGGGGCAAGAGCGTGGTTGATGTCTACGCCTGGTTGCTTCTTTGAGATGTTAATTGCTTTGGGTATCGTCCTTCATTACTAAGAAGCTTTAACCACTTCCAATTTTATGGGAACAAAACAACTATTTAATGAATATTATAAGACGTGAGTATTTAACTCAAATCAGTTAGTAATGTAGGCAATTAATAACTTAATCCTTAGTTAAGGATATGGGGAATTAGTTTATTAGGCTCGGCGTAGAAATATAAGGATAGAAATATAATCATATTTTGGGAAAAAAGAAGAAATATTATCATATAGTTAAACAGTGATGATTTAGTAACCACATAAATTAAAAACACTAGCCGATCCACAAGTATTAATAAAAAGTAAGCTCCACTAATCTACTCAGTGCAATATACAACTGTATATATGATTTTGTCCAGGGTGAGGGAGAGTGATAATCAAGGGAGTTTACAACAGAGCAAACAACACAACAAACCTCGCACCAAGAAAGAAAAGAAAAGGAAAAAGAGAGTCTCAACTCGTCAAATGGTACACCAAAATCACAACAAAGACGGAGCCGCCCAAATTGCCTATATTCAGGACGGATCTCACACATAACTTATCTCAATGGAGAGGCATTTGTCTCGTTTGTGTCGAAGAAAGAATGAAGAGCAAGTGGAACAGGGTGATGATCAATCAGAAGCTGATAAAGTTTCTCTAAACGCTGTACACGTTTGGGCCAAAAATAAAAAACAAAACCCAAATATAGTAGAGATGCTCAGCTATTTATCCATGGATAAGATCTTCGACCAGTAATTTGAGGTGTGAAGCTAAGCCCAAACATCTCCTTGAGGGCCTTGCCCCGCTCCCAAAACCTGACTAACTTGGCAACTATTGTAGCACTTTGCATTACGTGGTTCATATCAGTTTCACTCCATAAGCGGTTCGCTAGCTGCATCCTCCTCCGCTTTGAATCCAATGCAATGCCCCACTCCTCGAAGAGTCTATTTCTCTCTTTCTCGGAAAGCCTCCTCTGCATAAGCTTCACCAGCATTCCTCTTTCTCGGCGAAGAGCTTTAACGCTGTCTCCCCAAACAAAACACACGTCAACATGAAGAGAGGAGTAAATAAACATACCACTACATGCAACAAAAATTAGTGTTTATAGTAAAAGTCTTATATTTAATATTATTGCAGATTATTGAAGTTAAACTCTGATTTTTAATTGATGAACGCCATCAACACCTAAAAACTTATTAATTTTTTTAAGGGGACGAGCCTTTATTTTTCAATATTAAATCTAACCTCCCACCCTCGAGGATCTATTTCTCAACATAATTTTTCAAATTCAGCATCACAAGGTTTCCCTAAGAAAAATCATTGGCCGTACTGGTAAATGCCCATTTGGATTCCAAAAATATCAGATACTCAAATAAACGCGGAAAGAGAGAACCTTGAAGCTAGTGTAATTGTCTGACTATCTTTCACAGACTGGTTTCCATCAGAAAATGTTTCTTTGAGGAAAGCTAGTCTTCTAAGCTCTACCTCCATGTAAATAGAGTCTGTTAGATCACCCTTGAAGAGAAGAAAGAAGTAGGTCCGGTGGGTCAATGGTACACAGCAAGATTGCCACAGTTCAATTATCTCTTTTTGCTGTCTTCTGAATTGCAGAGACCAGTCTAAAGGAGTTCCAGGTGCCTCCAACATTGGATCCACACCCGCATCTTTCACGTTCCTCTCAAGCCTAAATGGTTTTCTCTCTGTATCCTGATCCTACAATTCGAAAAGCAAAGTTTATTCAAAAGCATCAACATTAAAAACGACCTTCCAAATTCAGATTTTAATCATCAAAGGAACTTTGTATGAAATTATGAATAGAAGAACATCTAACTTAAGAGTATATAGATTTAGTTATGTCAATTCATTATTCATGGCAGACTATATCTATTCATTATTCATGTCAGATACAAGTATCAATATACAAGTCTTGATACAGTAGAGGTTCGAGTTTCTCCCACCATTTGCTAGTGACAAGGAAAAACTTCATGCAACAAATGATAGATAAGAATAAATTAAAAAAAATGACTAAAGTTTAATGTACTTAAGAAACGGTAATTGTAAACAGTAGTACGATATAACAATCATATTTATATAGATAAAATTTATCAATTATTAATTAGATGTATGGATGTGATTAGTGATCAACATTGAATAAATAATCAACCGAAAAACCAGGAAATAGCATATGAACGATTTCAGTTACTTAGGAAAAAGAAAATTAAAATTTCAGTAATTCTTTAATTCAACTTTAAGAATCAAGAAAGCAGCCGAATTGATTTATTCTCACCTGTCCGTCAACAAGCTGCTTCTCATATTCAAGTTTGACCATTTCTTTCATCCCAGCAACAAACGTCTGGATGCTAGTAATATCCTCATCAGCAGACGTTCTCATGCTGCTCACTCTAAGCTCATCCACAGAAGGACTTCCAACGGAAGACTGAGAACCGTTCCTTAACAATCTTGTGGAACCATCATAATTTAATGGAGGAAACTTTCCCCGCAAACCATCTGGCCTTCCGGGAAATCCTTTTTCAAACCCACTGGCTGGAGTCCTCTGTATTTCTCCTCCTGTCTCAGGAAAACCTGTCATGTGATATTCCGTACAACTCCAGCTTCTAGTTAATTTAAGATTCTTATAATTTGACATACTTTCTGAGGTGGCCGGTGGAGATTGTTCATCAGGGGAAGGACATACAAGAGAATCAATGGTTGACTGTACATCGTGCAATCTCTGCTCCAGCACTCCATACGTTGAATTTTCTTGGATCTGACTGTCTTCTGTAGATATTTCCTGGCTTGTTCCATTTTCATCCCCTGCTAGAGCCAACTCCCCGTTGTCACTTAGCGATGGATCAAGATTGTCTCTGCTTGACTCCTCCAACTCAACACATCGAACTTCTTTGCAGTATTCATCAGGGTCTTCTGTACAAGCACAAGCTAACAAATGTATAATGACTGGATATGATGCAGTTCCACTCTAAAATATCATCATTTTTATCAACCTAACTGCTACGGGGGATGAAAGGACCTACCATCAAGATTACTTCCACTGTCCCCATCATTAAAATGAGGATTGTTGAACTCTTTAATGCGTGTATCAGGACGATGAGTACCACAAATGCTTGAGCCCTCTGATACCGAACAGTCATCTTCCCATATATCTTCCCCTTCCTGCAAATTAAGATTATTACTAAAGCTAGCCAGAACAAGAACAAGAGGAAATCCAAATTTGAAGGCATAACCTCTAATATGTAATAGAATTTCAGATATTACTACATACGGAAATAGAAATTACATTTCCAGATATCTGCTCTTTTCCAACCATGCGCAGCAAATCCTCAACCCTTGATTGAGCAAGATCACGTTGCTTAGTTAGTTCCCTGATCTCCTTCTCCATCTGAATGATTGAAACTTGTGGTATCAACATCGAAGGAGTACGTAAAATGTAACATGCATAAACTTGAAAAATATATCATTCAGCATAAATGCAACGATTTTTAAGATATATAATTTCACCCCAAAAATAAGGCCATTAACCTATATAAAATGGCTACACTCAAGCCCTTCCAAGGAGAATATGACATACATGTTGAAGACTATCTCTAACCACCAAAAGAGCTTAAATACAGTAAGATATATTGAAGAACAACCCTGCTCCCTCCAAAAATAAAGAAAGGACACTGAGGCAGACATGCAGTATATTTGGGGTCTACTCAAACACGATACTACCCTTCTTAGCTATTAGGATACATAAATTCACAAGGACTTAAGTATTGTTCAATAACACAAGTACCCAGAAAAGAGAGATTACCATACCAAATTGTTCAAAATCATATCTTTGAAGTTTCATACCTAGATTGGTCCACAATCAGTAAAAACATAATAGCATAATAAAACGGTAAATTATGACCTTTTCTATCTGGAGATCTTTCTTTCTCAACAATGCTGCATAATCACAATTGGAGATAGCAGGACCAGGAGTTCTCAACTCACTCTCCAATCTGGCCACCTCTTTTTGCAAATGCTTCAGCAATGCTTTATCAGACATCACTACGTTAACCTGTGCTTTAGTGGTTACTTCTTTTGCACAACAAGCAAAAAGAAGTGTGTTTCTGGTTTGCTCAACATGGCTTCGTGCAGGGCTCAAAGTGCAAATGATAGCTGTTCTAGCATTGCCACCCAAGCAAGGCTGCAGTATGCGTGTCAACTTGGAATCTCTGTAATTTATGTGTCCACCATGTCTTCCCTTACTGCATTCATGCACATTATGCCAATGGAACTTAAAACGTTTTCTTTTTCAATATGGTATAGAAGAAAGAATCAACAGAAACTAGAAATGGGGAAAGGAGTTTCAGGAGCGTCATCTAAAAAGTTCGACGACACCAGGGTACTTCCAATTTTTACACATGAACAGTTATAGAGTAGCTCCTGCATTTAAGTTTTGAACATACGGATAAGGTTTCTAATGTAGAGATATTTCCAATTAGCCACAGGGGACAGGAAGATAATAATCTGTCTTCCGTTCTCTCACAATATCTTTTTTGACTATGGATGAAATACACATCATGTTAACTAGATTTCAGCTTGGTCACATATTAACTAACCAACAGTTACCCTAATGCTTACTGCCACAAGCCTATGATGATATTATAATAGTCTCAGTTCTATAGTGCAAAAAGAATAATTATTGTGCCAGTCACTTTCATGCATATAGAAAACCAAGCAAACATATAGCCAGCTGGGTCATAAAGGAAAAAACTACATGATATGACTAAGCAATAATAAAATTAAGGGACATGGGAAAAGCTGAAATTAAATAACTTGAATGTAGGTTTTCTGACTATATTAAGAACAGTAAACGAGGAAGACATCATAAGCTAAGGAAGAAGTAGACAACCTAAGCTTACGAATAACTGTTCCAAGAGTAAGCAAACTCCGGTTTATATGACATCCTTCTTTCAATCTCATCCCAGCTGATGATGCCTGAGATGCACGCTCACTCCCTGCCAAATCAACAAAATTCTGCAGAGAAACAAAAACAAATTGAATAATTGTAAAATCTATGATAAACATTTTATGCTCAGAACAAGAGGGGAATTTTTAAAAAAATGCAAACATACCACACTAGCTACAAGGGTGGCTGAGTTTCCTTTGCCCAGGAATTCCCTGGCAGAACTTTCCATTGTCTGAAAGGTTACAACTCCATTAATGAAAGTCTATCGGTACAAAATATAATGCACAATATTTTAAGCATGCAAGGGGAAGGCACATACCAATCTGATAATTTGGTGAGATCTAGAACTCTTTTCATTCAGGTATGTCTCTCCCACCTGTCTCTGAGCTGCAAGAATAAAGTAAGCAATATAATGGTACCAAATACTGGACTACCCTATGACAAGAAAACCATGCAAAATCCTTTACTTCACCTTCACTGAAGGCTAGGAGCTCTTTTAAATGCACCCAGTCCCGTAGAGTCTCCTCTGTAAGTTTCTCTAAAATGGGTCCTCTCTGATGAAAAAGAGAAAGGATCATGAAAACAACTGTTAAATTATGCAATCTTTTTCATTAAACTATCTATCAAATATAGATAAAAGGCATTCACCTCAGGATCATCCCGCAGTCTAAGTGGAGTGTTGTCAGTGCTTAGGAGGTCTCTAACAATTTCATTGTAAATTTCAATTGCTGAGAACTTCAATACAAATGCTCTTTCTTCATGCTAAAAAATTAACCTTGTGTTAATAACACTTATTAATAATGTTATAAACAAGAGCTCTGGTGAAGAATGATACCGAATAATTAAACAGGCATATATCAATATTATAGTAGTCTAATTACCCTCTTTATATAGTCAAAAATATCTGCTACAGCATATTCGGTTACTCCAATCATCGTGTATGTCTTTCCACTACTTGTTTGCCCATATGCAAAAATACTTGCTGAAAGAATATATAGACACCTATATTAATCAAAGTGGAAAGGGAATAAGAGAAACTAGCCAGCATAACAATATGTACTCACAGTTAATTCCACCAACAACCGAAAGAGCAACTTCTTTGGCTCCTTCCTCATATACCTGCCTTGTGACACAGTCACCACGAAATACTCTGTCTACCACCAATCATAGCAAAAATTCGGCAACACTCAGTCCACGATTAATGGATCTCCAATGCAATGTCTTAATAATAAAGTTTGAAACACTATCATACAACAAAACTATGCAAAATGCATTTTTAAATATAAAAAACGCCATTTTAAAAAATTTAAGTTGAAAATAAAAAACAGGGATTAACACCTTAGCAAGTTATGTTAATTGATTCGTCCAAGTAGGCAAAGAAAAATCCACCAATGTTTGCACCAACATTAAGTATTTTCGAAAGTTAGACCAAGCAAATAAGTCAAAGCTATGCAATCTGAACCTACTCAAAATATAAAAGTAACTAAACATCGTTCTTAAGGTAAGGGAAGGTGATCCCTTTAGGATTATATATATGCCAAATCTAACCCACGTTAAGTCCTCAATACTTGTTAATGCCAGGTATATAGCTGAAATTGAATAATTCAGTTTCAATGGCAATGAAAATTTCAGGATATTAAAGCAACGTTAAGAGTAAAGCAAGGTATTTGTTTACCAAATGTGTAGGCGCTAGGAAAAGTGGAACCCTCACGCAGTGTGTTCCGGTACAAGATGGTAGTATCATTGATGCATTCCCAGTCTGCTGATTCATTAGCCGCAATTTCCTTCTCACTCAAAGGCCTCAGCCTTATTGACACAAGAATCTTCTCTTCACGACCACTCGCTCCTTGCATCTTCTCCCATTTCAACAGCTCTTCTCCAGCAATAGCTCCCATTTCTCGCTTTTAACTCAATATTCGTTCCAACCAATTAACAAGCTAATCGAAATTCAGAACAAGCCCATGATTCCTAAAAGAGGACAATTAGGGTGGCTAATTATTAAAATTACTCTTCATTTCCCAAAATGCAAGACATTAAAAGATAACAACCGGAAGTTCACAAAAAATACTAATCCCTTTAACTACATGAAGAAGGTAATCATAATCACAAATGACCAAAACTCACAGAAGATAGCAACCCATTAATTTCGGTTGATAAATAAATAGGCAATTACAGCAACATCGAGCTAACTTTAGATTATATCCAGCCAACAGAAACTAAGACCAAGACAAAACAGAATGCTAACTAATTACGTTTTTATCATCAACAAAGTATCAGTGGTTGGCAATATATCACGACCTGTAAGACTTCTCTTTCAAGAGAGAGAGATGATCAATCATGGGTTTAGTTAGTCCAATTAAAGGACATTCTGGTCTTTTATTTATTCTTTGGTGCCAAGCTTCATACAGAGAGAAGAATAAAAAACGAGAGAAAGAAAAGAAAAATTAAAAAAAAAATAAAAATGCGGGGGCCAAAACACAAAAAGCGGGGTTCCCTTTTTCAATCCTTCCTTCAACAATGACCAATTGTAATGTAAGAATGGAAAACTTTCAACAGCAGCGACCCCCCAATAACGCTTGAGAACGAAGTAACAGAGTTTTACATAAATATGAAATTGACCATGAATTAGTTAGTAGTTATGCACAGCACAGCACATCACCGGTCCCCAACAAACAGTAACATCCTTTTCACTTTTTTTCATCCTCCTCTTTATTTTTACTTCCTTCCAATAAACAAAAGCAACACACATTCTCATAGATATCATTTTTAAAAAAGGAGTCGAAACCAAGGAATTTTCACCGCTCAACTCCTAGTCCTTTTCACGACAGTGTAACAACGATAAACCTAATTCACACTACACCGTAGTTTATGAATCAGAGAATCTGCAGCCTCCGCTAAGATTCTCGCTCATTTCTGAACCTGCATTTTTTCGTGATCACAAATCAGAAATCGAATACAAGCGTGTCCTTCTGAGAAAACTACAACAATGATAGTTAACCAAATAGAAATAAATATAATTGATCATCTCCACTTTTTTTAAAATGCCACGTTAATATACAACGAAGTGCTCCAAATCAAGGTTCAAAACTCGAGTGTATATTCTGCAACTTCGCAAGTGTAAACTATTCTTCTTCAGAAGCCAGCACGAGCCACAAGCAGCGTCAAGTATCATATTTTGAAAAAAAAAAAAAAAACAGAGAATAGAAAAAAAAAAAATAGGAAGAAGAAAAACATACCAAGTGAGGAAATAGAACAGTGGGAATCTGAACGAACTTCACTTGACGAGCCACGATCTGAAACAGAACGCAACCGAACTCAATGCAAGTGAGAGAGAGAGTCGTCGGTTACTTTCCTCACTCTCTCTCTCTCTCTCTCTCTCTCAGAGTCTCTGAAGCTCACACGCATCATAGTTGGGAATGGACCAGTAAGCACGTAAATCTGATGGGGTGTCAATTTCTTCGATGTTTCTATTTTTTTTAAATTTATATTTATAGTAGTAAATTAGTAATTTAGTTAATTTGACTTATTTTTTCTTACCCTCGCTACGGTGGGAGGGGGGAAGAAATTTAGTAAATGACGATTGTGTCCCTGCCTTTGCTTCCGCATCTCGATTTCTGACTAAAAGTTTCTCGTGTCACGTGATGGTGGGAGCGGTTTGGGAAGGACTTTGCGGAGTAGTGGTACGTGGAGGTGTCAGCGTTTGTCCACAAGCGCCGCTTGGGCGCGTGTTTACTGTGGAGAAACCACTTCTACCCACTCACGTTAATGTCTTAATGACAGTTTTGCGAAACCGTCCATACGGATTGAAGATCCATCGCCGACCCGCAGCTTCGAACCACGTTTGGAATTTTGTGTCTAACGGTCATTACAGTTAATAAATGCTGTGGCACTTCCAATCGTTTATTTATTATGGGTTCTTATATATTGCCATTAATTTATTTTCTCATATTTTTAATATATGTTAATATAATTTTTTTTTTTAATTTTTAACCTACATTAGTAATAATTAATAAGACCTTTTCTATTTTATTTTCGAGTTAAAAAACAGTTTTATTATGAAAGTAATAATTTTTTTAAAGATGAGAAGATTATCTGTCCTTTTAAATCAATAAAACCTCCAAAACTAAATATAAATAAATCTTATCAATCTGACAAATAATAAAGACTTAAATTTGTAATTTGTCAAAACGAGATGGTCTTGTTTTCGACTTAATTATTCCATAAAATAATAAAATCTAACTTCACCAATCAATATCACATTGTTAATATTATAAATTATATTACATGACTAGTTAATAGATTCACGTTATTTGACATCGTAGTCTCATCACATCACGCGTACGCGATTTAAGAGTTAAGATTTTAATATTCTTACTATTGTATTCCTATCTGATATCTTCCTTTTTACTTTTATTTTTCAGAATAATTTACGGTGGACATACTTTTAGAATTAATGTGAAATAATGTATTTTTTATTTATCTATTTTAGTAACAATACTTAAAAAAATATTGGTATTCTTTGTCTTAAAACCACTGGATACAGCATTTTAGTTCTCACCCTGCATATGATTTAACAATCCCAGTTTTCTTCTCCTCCTCCCACATTAATAGGTAAAAAAATATAAATATATTAATATGTAGTAAAATTTAATATAAATTATTGAACTTAATTCAAAAATTACAAAAAAATTTCAAATTCTCTCTGTTATGCAAACCTGTTCCAAACAATAAATTCAATGAGGTTTTATATTTTTTTTGTGACGCTAAACAGTGAACTCCTCAGTCAAATTTACTGTGTTAGAACTTAGAACCCATAGAAGTGAAAAAAAGAAGGAGTGGAAGTGGCCACTGGCTAGGTCCTTGTAATGTAACGTGCTTGATGTCGTGATCGGAGACAGCTGTAAGAAAGGAAATACAATATAAATCAGGACAATCGCTTCCTTTTCTCTACCAACCTTAATTAGAATATAAAACACTGACATTGTTGCCGTCCATAAATAGGACCTGGAGTACACACTCCATAACAAAATGTGTTTTTAGTGCAATATTTTTGGAGTTTTTTTTAAGCATACTATATTTATTTCATTTTAAATAACAACAAATACTTATGATGCTAATGAGTACTAGTTAAATATTGAATAACTTTTATATAATGATTTTTCTCGTTCCAAAAATCGCATATATTACAATTTATAACTTCAATGACTGGTTTGCATTTAAATCTTCTTAAGATAGTTCAAACTATTACCTGTACACTCAATATACATGAAGCTATCATTATCCCCTCTAATTATAACTTGCTATTTGGACATTACTTAAACTTTACTTTGGCTCACATTAAAATTGTCGGGTATCATCTTCTTTTTTATAGAATGGCTTGGGGTAGGAACCGTTCAGACAGCTTGAGAAATCAAAGAAAAATATTGTTTGTATCATTAATATATATTCATTTGGTGTCTGAAACGTATAACAATATTACTAAGCACAGGGAAGACAATGGCGTCACTTTCTCAAGTACAACTAATCAAAATTACTTACCTTTCTATTATCATTTAAATATTGGTCTTACGTTTAATTAATATTGATTATTGATTGTGTTTTTTCTTTCGATGTTAGCTTTGTTAATTAGTCCTAATATAAATCATGGAAAATTGGAAAATATGCCGTTAGCAGTTATGTTTATTTATTATAACTTGGATTGCAAGTCTAGTGTTTACGTATGTATGATAGGAACTATTTATGTAAAAAGTTTATTTATAAATTAATTAGGCTTTATATTCAAGAATAAATGATATCTTACTGATTTTGGATCTAGAGAGTATATATTATATGCGATCAAATATAACTAAAACGAGATTAATCTTATTGGTTTTTGGGGTTGGGAATCTTCTCTTTTAGTTTGCCTTATCCATATCATAGTCGTAAATCATGAAAGCTTAACCACTTAACACTAAATTACTTATATATTAATTCAAATGATAAATCATTGTTTAAGTCATTAGTCATTTTTTGAAATTTTAAATTATTTATCTTCATGCCCACTTTTATCCTCACTCCTTGAGTTATCTTCAATTCCCTCCGCAAATTAAGTCCAGATTTCGCTCAATGACAATGAGACCACAACCACATTTGATTTAACCTAAAAAATGATTCTCAAGGAATAAACTTAACAATTTTTTATTATGACATGGCACAAAGGTCTAATCAAGAGCAACTTAAGCATTTCAGGAGAGGAAGAAAAGAAGTGTAAGTCTTCCCCCACTTGGTGGCATAATGATGGACCATAGCATGCCATTTATGACGCTATGAGCACATAAAAAAGTGCCAACAAAAGCAGAAAAACGAGACAACAAAAGATGTCGTACAGTATGAGATTTGTGGGAAGAGTCAAAGAAAACTCTTCTAATTCGGTTTTGGGTTGCACGCGTAAACTATCATTTGTAAGGGCCCATTGCGTGTTATATATTCTGATTTTTCCCTATCTCCCTCTCAAAGAAAAAGAATATTTTATAAAAAGATATTTAATGTGGTTGAGTTCATCTATATTCTGATTTCTCATCATGTTAAACATTATTGTGGGTTTAATTTTAACACGTTATCAACCAATTAGAATTCAGTCTTCATATAATCTAAGAAAAATTATAATGAAAATAAATAATTTTAATATATAATCATTTATAGTTAAATAACAATGTAAAAATCTTATATTATTAATATATACTAATTAAATTCGTATTTTATTATATTATCTACAACCACTTTGCTATTATAGTTTGTTTGTCATGCATCAATCCCAATTTATAAAACTTCGTATGAATCAATTATTTTACAAATATAATTTATTTTCATAAAAAGGTTACATCATAAGTGTAGAAAAATAGACCCATAATTTTTTTTATGTTTCTTTTTTACTTTTTGCCTTGTATGATTATTGGGAGTAATATTAATATTCTTTTTTTTAGCCGATAGTGGCAGTTCAAGAGATTTTAGGGCCTGAAACAAATTTAAAAATAAGACTTTTTTTTATTAATAAAATAATTTATTATTATTATTTAAGAATTACAGCTTATTAAATATTATTTGTAATACTAATAAAAATATAATAATTAAATTAAATATTAAAATTAAAAAATAAAATAAAATTTGGGGGCCTAAAGCCCTTGCCTTACTTGCTTGGGCCTTAAGCCGCCCCTGCTAGGCGATTACCCTCAACAATCATGCAATGTTAATATTCTTTTTTCTAGGTGATTACTCCTAATAATCATGCAAGGCAAAAAGTAGAGAAAGTATAAAGAAACTATGAATTTAATAATTTAACAATGGATGAAAGAGAAAGATTAAGTTTGATCTGCCTAACTCTTTTATCCTGTTTTATCATATAGTTTCATTAATTACATACAGTACGGTCACTTATGATACAATTAACTATGAAATGTTAAGGGTGATAAGTTCTTACCATGAACAATTCAACTCAATATGATAAAAACCAAACACACAAAGAAATCAATATTACTATCAATAGGACTTGTTATAGTTTTAACTATGGATTTAATTACTCATAATAGGATGAACAACGAAAAGCATGGAGAACAAATCCATAAATACCAAAGAGAATTTAAACAAGAGAAACATAAAAGGGAAAAAGATGAAAAAAGTTCTTGTTCTTTTATGGGTGCTCAATCACATTCACTCTGACTTTGAAGGGAGACTCGTTGTCTTTATTAATTATCTCCAATAACTCTCAACGGTCAAATAAGTCAGAACTAGGAAGGAAAAAAAGGTATGTAGAGAAGTATTCTCCCTTAGGATATAGAATGAGATAATTTCAATTTTTTAGAAAAATATTTGATTTGTCAACTTTCAGAATCTTAACTTTAGAATCTCAACTTAAAATCACTCAAAATCTTCGTATCTAAATATTTATCTAAGTTTAAATTTTAAATTTAAACTTAGATTCACATAACACGGTCAAAGACTAAAATTATCTAAAATATTTTTATAATACACAGATAATAACTTTCAACTAAACTGCAATAATTAATAGCATAATTAATATATATATATATATATATATATATATAAAATAAAGTTTAAGTGTATAAATATATCAAATAACACTACAAGAAATCTAACTTTTAGTGACTAGATTTTAGTAACGAATATAAAATTTGTCACTAATAATAAAAATACATTAATTATAAAAAAATTATTAATAATATATAATATTAAAAAAAATTATTTTTTATTTTAAGTTCATTATTAATATATATATATAATTAATACTTATGATTTTATTAATAATTTTTTAATTTAATTATATTTTTAATCTTTATATTTTTATGAATGTTTAAATTTAATTTATAAATTAATATTTAGTCTATTAAATTTTAAAAAATTTTAAATTAAGTTTTG